CAACATTTCGTATAAAGAGTTACTTACTTGGTCGGGTACTGATTGGCAATTAAAGTCTTCTGATGTGTTAAGGCAAGAAAACATTTTACAATCGTGGTTTCAATATTTGCAAATTGTGCAGAGATGGACTTTGGATAAGAAAGTGGGAATTACTTTAGTAGATGAAAATTTGGTAATTCAGATCAAGGATCAGAAATGTGCCCATATTAAAAGAATTTATAATGAGTTAATAAAATTGGATTCAGAAACAGAATTAGTTAAAGATTGTATGATTAAATGGCCCCAGAATATTCAAGAACCGATCTCGTTGGACTTATGGGAGGTAATTTGGACTAGAAATGTTAAATTTACATAGGCACAGAATCTGAGGGAAATTTTTTACAAAATGTTTTACAGATGGCATCTGGATTCTAAAAAGCTGTCCTGTATGTACCCGAACCTGCAACTTAAATGTTGGAGATGTGGTTGTTTGGATGCAACCTATTTTCATGTTTGGTGGACTTGTAAAGTTATTAAAGCCTTCTGGATTATGATTTGGTGGAACATTCAAAAGGAAGATTAAGTTTACTCCCCAACTGTTTCTTTTGGGAATTTTCGTGGACTTTAATGTTAAAGAAACTATTTTAATGTTGAATTTAATAACAGCAGCAAGATTACTGGTGGGTCAATATTGGAAGAAGGATACTCTGCCTTCTTTAGAAGAATGGGTATTTAAGGTTTCTAATTTAGCAGAAATGGCTAAAATTTCTGCTTATTTAAAGGACCATTCACAAGAGAGATATTTTAACGTATGGAGAAGATGGATAGAATATGTTCAGAAGAAATATGAAACTACAAAGTTTCACTTATTCTATGAGTAATGATTTTGTTTATAAACCTATGATGTTAAAGTTTGAAGAGAGTTTTATGATTTTGTTCATTGTATAATTAGTAAACTTAAATAAATTATGTTTAATATGTTTGCATAATCCTGTATTTTGCTCTGGGAAGTCGGGGGGGAGGGGGGTGGGGGGTGGATGGGTTGAAGTTTAAGTAGTTCAGATAAAGTAGAAATAGTCTTATTGTATATAATATTAATGTTTTAATTTTGAGAGAGGAACTGCTCGGGCATTTCCCCTGGACCGCATCAAGAGGGAGGAGAAGGTGAGAAGTAAGTAGGAAGGTTGAGGTGAAGGAGGAGAGGGGGTGAGTGAAGAAAAAGAGGGAAAGAAGTAAGTTGGTTTGAGGTGGGATGCGGTTTGGGGGGAAATGGGCGGGCAAGATCGAATGTGGTGTGTATCAATTTGTTTTATTTTTTATCTGAAGTTTGTAAGATTGTTATGTATTATAAAGTTGAAAATAAAAAATTTACAAAAAAAAGAAAGAAAAGAAAATCGGCAGCATAAAGAACAGCAGAGAGGTGCTGTTTGGGGGGGGATCTAAAACTCCTGCTCCCCATCATTTTCAAAGCATGCATAGCCTAGTGCTCATTATTCGGTGGTCTTTGCCCTTTGACTTACTGGTCTGAGCACTCGCAGAATTTCCTTCAGGACAGCCTGGGCATTGTTGACAGAGCAAAGCACCAGCGTGCCAACCACCACGTCCACAGAGCCGTCTGGTACCGAAGAGATGTCCTCAGCGAAGCCGACCACAAAATTCTTGAACTGCAGGTGCGTATTCTGAGCCATGTTCTCCAGCAGGATGTTTCTAAAGTTGGGATTGTAGTCCATGCAGGTAACATGCGAGTTGGGTGGATAAAACTGAAAGTTGGTGCCGGGGCCCACGCCGATCTCCAGCAGGTGAAGCTTTCCCGAGGCATCAGCGAAGTCACGCATGTTCTTGAATAGCATCTCCTTTTTCTTGTGCATTCTTATATTGTAGAGTTTGCTCGCTGTCTTCATGAAAACTGGGAAAGTTTTTTTACAAATAGGGTCCCATAAACCAAAATAGGCAAGCACATAGATGGGCAGGATGAGAATTTTCATGCATTGTTGGAAGATGAGAAGCATCATCATTGCCGGACTAGGAAGAGAAGCCCTCCCTGCAGCAAAGCAGCTTGACTCCCTCAATGTTTTGCTTTAAATACAGTCTGCTCCTCCCTGTTCCCTTAATGAAGCTGCGCAAGCAAACCAACGCCCCCCTCCAGTTCTTCCTTAAACTGTCAGCAACTCTTTCAGTCACGTTGAAAAAACTACCCAGTGAACATTTGAATTATATTTAAATGCAGATTGTATTTATTAATTCAATTTTTATGTCATCCATCTCCCTTGCAAGGTGACTCTGGGTGGCTTACAAATTATAAAACAAGTAAAAGATGATTAAAATATTAAAGTTACATAGATTAAAATATCATTAAAAACTGTACTAAAACCGAACTAAAAAAGCTAAGATGTGAACAGGAAGGGGATGGGGTCTTATCCCATCAGACACCTCCAGCAGTGAGCTGGTGTAGGAGTAGTAGAGTGATGTTATTTTTCCTTTAAACAATAGAGTGGAGGCTTTGGTATGTGGGAAGTCAGCCCCACAGAGAAGGAACTATTAAAAGGGCAGAAAAATATATTTCCTCAAAGGATCTTAAAAAGGCAGAAAAGCATGCCCAGTTTTTCTTAATAGCCCCAGGTCTCCCTCCCCCAAACAGAAACCAGTTCTGTTGAAATGCAGATGAAGGCCAGGCTGGAAGATCAAGAAGACAAAGACACCTAAAATCTACATACTAAACCCAAACTCTAAGACAGGACATAATAGGATTAACACAGAGACACCAAAGGGCACACTCAGACTCAGGTCAAAGTTCATGCCACAGGAAGTGACTCCAATCAAAAGGCTCCAAAGGGTGTAAAAACCCACTCCCCACATGTGCTCAGCCCCTTTTTCCCTCTTTTCTGCCTGAGCCACCGTTCCGTCTGGCTCTCCTTTTCAATAAACTGCAACCTTCTTTCTAAAGCAGTCGCCATGTTGTTTATCCCCGGCCTGGACAGAACGATGATAAAGACTTTTCTTCCAACAGGTACTATTTTAAATAATATATACTTTATACCAGGGGTTCTCAACCTTGGCAACTTTAAGACATGTGGACTTCAACTCCCAGAATTCCTCAGCCAACTTTGCCATCTCTTTTTTTCCTTTTCCTCCCTTTCCCTCCCTTTCTTCTTCCTTTTTCTTCCCAATTGTGTCCTACTATTTGCTTTCTATTTTGTATTTTACTTTACATCTTAATAAAATGTTTTTTAAAAAAGAGAGAAATCTCTCTTTCTAACTCTTCTCTCATCCATTTGATCTATTTTATCTGCATCTTCTTTTGGTATTAAAGTGATATTTGCTTCTATCCACGTTTGGAAGTTTAGCCTCCAACAAGAGTTCATTGCAAACGTCTTTCAACGGTTCATTTAGTGCAGTGGTGGTGAACCTACAGCACGGGTGCCAAAGGCAACACTCAGAGCCCTCTCTGTGGGCACACATGCCATTGCCCCAGCCTTGCCTCTCCCCATGACCTCCTCCTTTCCAGCAGCCCCCCTGAAGGAGAGTCGCCCCCAAGCGTGGCCCACACAGAGCAGCGCAGCCAAGGACATGGCAGCCAGGCAGCGTAGACAAGACTCTACCCTCACACCCCATCATGTAGTTGATGCTGCAGGGCACGGGCAGCATCATAGCACCATAGCACTGACCACCATAGCACTGCTGGGCTGCCTGGGCGATCTGTGGCGGGCCCTGGAGGCGGTAAGTGGTCCTATGGGCAGGTGGGGTGGGGGATGGGGGGCAGAGCAGGGGTGGGGCAGGGGGTGGAGCGGGGATGGGGGCGGGGCCAGTTTTGGGGCATTCGGACTCTAAAAGGTTCACCATCACTGACTTAGTATATCTGGCCTATACCATTTCAGTCAGACAAATGGCTGTCCAGTCTCTTCTTAAAAACTTCCAGTGTTGGAGCATTCACTGCAGCCTTGTGAACTATTTGCAACAAAACATTTGATGGTTCTGTGATCATGCCCCAATATTTTAACAATTTCAAGAGTGCTGCATTTGATATGTTCAAAATACTCACTTGCCTAATCATTGTGCACACAGTGTGCCATGGTTAAGAGTTCCAAGGGCTTATTGTTTGATCTGCGAGGAAGGCTTAATCCTAGAAGATGGGACACAAGGAATAAATGCAACTGTGTTGCTAAATGCCTGAATTGCGGTCATGTGATTGCAGGACAAGGCACTAGGCTGAGGGCATTTAAAGTTGGATTTTGGAATTCTGTACATTCTTTTACCTTGTGTTTTCTATCCATCCTTCTCTTTTATTTCTAAACAGTTTGTTTTTTTTCTGTATAAATCTTTGACTGTAATAAAAAAAAAAGCACTAGGCTGAGGGTATATAAATCTGTGATTTTGGAATTCTGGAATATCCCAGGGGCCAACAACAGGGAAGATTCTTTGTGCTGCCCCACTTCTTTTCGTTAATTGGCCACAAAGCGAGTCCTTAATAAAATGTTTTTTAAAAAAGAGAGAAATCTCTCTTCCTAACTCTTCTCTCATCCATTTGACCTTTACTTCTGCTAAAGAAATACATTATGTGATACTTTTAGAAAACCAAAAAACTCCCAAAGTAGTGTTGTGCCCCAGCAGACATACCAAATGGGCAGAGCCTATGCTGTGACAGCCTAACGCTCTTTTCCCTATGTTTTCCTCATGTAAACCCTCCTTGTCCTCTTGCTACAGAGTCAGCAGCTTGATCTATTTGGGTTCCTACTCAAGTCTCCTCCAAATCAAACTTGATCCCATATGATTTCGTACAGACTTCCCCATTTGGTGGGGGGGGGGTTGGAAACAATTAAAAAATTGCTTGTCATTGCTCAGAGATGTTGTTTTAAATTTCCAGTTTAGCTTCAACCTAGTATTTTCTGGAGATCTCTCACTGAAGTACCAGGTAGGCTCCTCTCTCAGGACAGAAGCTTGCTGCCATTTACTAACATTAAAGTTGTGCACATATTCATTAAAGTTGTACACCATCTGAAAATGATTCAGAAACACAGGCAGGCGGGAAAGCTGCAGTTGCTTTAAGAAGGAATCCCCTTCATAGCGTAAGTTAAGTCTGAAAATCAACAGCATAAAGAGCAGCAGAGATGTTACAGACTTGTTGCCAGAAGTATGTCCAGGTTGATCTGTCAGCTGTTACATGTTCTATGAAAAAGTATGCACCACCCTGGAAAAAGTAAAATAATACAAAAAAGAAAAAATAAATCAGAACGCTTTGAAATTACATACAAAATTGATACTGTAATCCAAATTGTTGTTATATAACTACCTGGGGATCTAAAGCAATAATTAAATATAGAGACAAAATGAAACTGGAATACAATTTATCCATTAATGATTTACAGATAATTCAAGTTCTAGGAAAACTGAGAACTGGCCTTTTTTATTTAAGGATGTTGACTAAGTAGCACCTGCTGAAAAGCCTCCTACCTCCATTGGTGGTACATTGGCACATGGCAGGTGGTACGTGGCCCTGCCCAGCCCAGCCAAGGGTAGCGTGGAGGCAACGAGCCAAAGCGTAGCACAGGACTTGCCATGAGAGAGTCCTCAGGTGATGCAGGGCTGGTTGGGGCGAGATAAAGGCCCCAGGATCGGCACTTCTGGCTCACCTGATAGAGAAAGGAGGAGGGGGGGCGGAGACAGTAAGGGATATAAAAGGAGGCAGTTTGGGTGGGAGACGGAGAGAAGAAAAGACTTTGGAGAAAGAGGCAGAAGAGAATGGGAAGGATTTGGAGAGACGTGTGTGTGAGAATGGGAAGCTGAGCCGTGCTTTGCAGGATGGAGCAGGCAGACCTATGCCAGCACACCCATCAGCATCAGAAAGGCTCCAAAAGAGGTAACTGCCGGGGGGGGGGAAAGCAGGAGGCTTTTCAGCAGGTGCTGCCAGGCCTGCAAACATGGCACTGCCCCTCTGTTTTCCATCCCCCAAATTCCGGAGTATAGATGGGCAGCCTTTGAGTGCCGCTGACAAGTGGGTGGGCAGTGGGCAGGAGCGCCGGGTGAGCACCGCTTTGCAGGATGAAGTGGATGGAGTTCCTTGCAAGTCCTGCCCCAGCTATGGCGAGGAACTGCAAGTGCGTCTGTGCCCAGAGGGCGAGAAGAAGGAACCGGAGGGTATATATTATATCTAATATATTAGATATATTAGAGCAAACATGGAGAACTGGAATAAAGGGAGACAATTTAACAAATACAAATGGGCTAGTCCTTCCAGAAAACTGGCAATCAAATGGTCTCCTTTAATTCAAATAATGTATATAAGAATGGAGGGAGATCTATTTGATGATTTAAAGGCGCTGATATGGGAGCCTAGTTGGCAAAGAAAGAAAGGTAGAATAAGGTTGAAAAAACTGGGATTTTGACTCATTAAGGGGGATTTTATATTGCCAATTAGAGGGTTATTGAAAATAAGGATTTTATTGGTATAATATTGAAAAATTAGACTTAAAAGGGAAAAGAAAATTAAATATTATGAATATGTTTGATTTATTGATTAACTCAGGCAATATATATAATGGTTTTGATTTATTAAAGGGGATATGGTGGGAAATAGATAACTCTTAGGAAATAGAACAAGATTATATGCAAATAGATAAAATGTGTATTTTGGATATTATAGTTTGTTATGAAGTGAGATAAGGTAAAATTTGGTTACCCAAAATCTGAAAATTATAAATATCAAATGTTAAACTGGAATGTTAATAAGAAATTAAAAATTGAGTAAAAATCAATAACAGGATATGGATTGTTTATGAAGATTGAATGCAATTAAGGTATGTATAGGCTAAAAATTTATTGATAAATATAATAATGATGTTCTTATTCAGTTAATATAATTAGAAATGTACTAATCTGAATATGAGACAGTAAATGTTAAGGGAAAAAGAGAAGAAATATTTGATATTGTAACCTGAGATCTGCACAACAAATTGTGGCAAGTTCTTAAAGAGATGGGAGTACCAGACCATCTTATTTGTCTCTTGAAAAACCTATATGCGGGTCAAGAAGCAACAGTGAGAACTGGACATGGAACCACTGATTGGTTCAAAGTTGGGAAAGGAGTCCGGCAAGGCTATTTAACTTATATGCAGAGCACATCATGAGAAAGGCAGGGCTAGATGAATCAAATTTGGAATTAAGATTGCCGGGAGAAATATCAACAACCTAAGATATGCAGATGATACCACTCTAATGGCAGAGCCTCTTGATGCAGGTGAAGGAGAGTGCAAAAGTTGGCTTGAAACTCAACATTAAGAAAACCAAAATCATGGCATCCGGCCCTCTCAATTCCTGGCAAAGAGATGGGAAAGAAATGGAGGTAGTGACAGATTTTATTTTCCTGGGCTCCAAGATCACCGCAGATGGGGACTGCAGCCAAGAAATTAAAAGACGCTTGCTCCTGGGGAGGAAAGTTATGGCAAATCTAGATAGCATACTAAAAAGCAGAGACATCACCCTGCCAACAAAAGTGTGTATAGTCAAGGCCATGGTTTTTCCAGTTGCAATGTACGGCTGTGAAAGTTGGACCATAAGAAAGGCTGAGCACCAAAGAATTGAGGCCTTTGAACTATGGTGCTGGAGAAGACTCCTGCGAGTCCCTTGGACTGCAAGGCGTTCAAACCGGTCAGTCCTAGAAGAGATCAACCCCGACTGCTCTTTAGAAGGCCAGATCCTGAAGTTGAAACTTAAATACTTTGGCCACCTAATGAGAAGGAAGGACTCACTGGAGAAGGGCCTAATGCTGGGAAAGATTGAGGGCAATAGAAGGGGACCACAGAGAATGAGGTGGCTGGATGGAGTCACTGAAGCAGTAGGTGTGATCTTAAATGGACTCCAGAAGATGGTAGAGGACAGGAAGACCTGGAGGAATGTTGTCCATGGGGTCGCGATGGGTCGGACACGACTTCGCAATTAACAACAATTAGCAATAGCTAATACAATGTGAAAAAGAAACTTTCTTTTTCACATTGTAGGAAGATAGTGGTGGTCCTCTGGCATGCTATTTCCCAGATGCCAGTAAATATTATTTAATAGGAATCACCAGTTCTGGTGTTCGCTGTGGCAGATCAAAATTTCCAGGATTCTATGTGTGTGCTGCAAGTTACAAAAAATGGATATATTCATATTTATCTAACAAAACAAATATTGTAAGCCTTCGGTTTGTCTTAATTTTGGGAACTGCTGGATGGATAACTTTCCATCTTGTATAAAATTCAAATTTTATTGAAATAGGGTGACAGATGATTATGTTTTAAGTTTTTTTCTTTCCCTTGCACACATATATTTTCCAGAAAATTCTCAGTAATGGAACTAATTGATTTATGTGATAACTCAGTATAATAAACCTAGTCTTCTTAGTATTCTAATCTGCTACTTATGCACACATACCTAGAAAGAATTTAACATGTATTTAATTGATAGTTTAAATATAAGCACCACTGTTATGTACCATTTATGAGCTATAAAATATATAAAAGCTATCACTAATATGCTACTGGGGAAGAGCAGAGGGCTAGTACTAGTAGCGTCAGAAAGAATGAAGCGACTGGGCCAAAGCCGAAAGGATGCTCAGCTGTGGTTGCATCTGGTGGTGAAAGGAAAGTCCGATGCTGTAAAGATCTTTTCTCCATAGGAACCTGGAATATAAGATCCATGAATCAAGGCAAGCTAGACGTCAAACAAGAGATGACAAGACTGAACATCGACATCTTAGGAATCAGCGAACTAAAATGAACAAGAATTTAACTCAGATGACCATCAGGTATACCACTGCGGGCAAGAATCCCTCAGAAGAAATGGAGTAGTTTTCATAGTCAATAAAAGAGTAGGAAAAGCAATACTGGGATACAATCCCCAAAATGGCAGAATGATCTCAGTTCGAATCCAAGGTAAACCATTCAATATCACAGTAGTCCAAATCTATGCCCCAACCACTGGTGCTGAAGAGGATAAAATTGACCGGTTCTATGAAGCCCTACAGCACCTTATAAAATTAACACCAAAAAATGATGTCCTTATCATCATGGGGGATTGGAATGCTAAAGAAGGAAACCAAAAGATAACTGGAATAACAGGCAAGTTTGGCCTTAGAGTACAAAATGAAGCAAGGCACAGGCTGATAGAATTTTGTCAAGAGAATACGATGGTCGTAACAAACATTCTTTTCCAACAACCCAAGAGACCTCTCTGCACATAGACATCACCAGACAGTCAACACAGAAATCAGATTGACTATGTGCTCTGCAGCCAAAGATGGAGAAGCTCTATACAGTCAGTAAAAACAAGACCAGGAGCTGACTGTGGCTCAGATCATGAGCTTCTTGTTGCAAAATTTAGGCTTAAATTGTAGAAAGTGGGGAAAAGCACTAGACCACTCAGGTATGAACTAAATCATATTCCTGATGAATATACAGTAGAGGTGACAAATAGATTTAAGGAATTAGATCTGACAGACAGAGTGCCTGAAGAACTATGGATGGAGGTTCACAACATTGTACAAGAGGTAGCAACTAAAACCATCCCAAAGAAAAAGAAATGTAAGAAAGCAAAATGGCTGTCTGAGGAAGCTTTACAAATAGGTGAGGAAAGAAGGGAAGCGAAAGGCAAAAGAGAAAGAGAAAGATACACCCAATTGAATGCAGAATTCCAGAGAATAGCTAGAAGAGATGAGAATACCTTCTTAAATGAACAGTGCAAAGAAACAGAAGAAAACAATAGAATAGGGAGGACCAGAGATCTCTTCAAGAAAATTGGAGATATGAAGGGAATGTTTCATGCAAAGATGGGCATGATAAAGGACCAAAATGACAGGGACCTAACAGAGGCAGAAGAGATTAAGAAGAGATGGCAAAACCACACAGAAGAACTATACAAGAATGAGCTTAACGTCCCAGATAACCACGATGGGGTGGTCACTGACCTCAAGCCAGACATCCTAGAATGTGAAGTGAAATGGGCCTTAGGAAATCTGAGCAACAACAAAGCTAGTGGAGGTGACAATATTCCAGCTGAACTATTCAAAATCTTAAAAGATGACGCAATAAAAGTGCTACACTCAATTTTCCAGCAAATTTGGAAAACTCAACAGTGACCACAGGATTGGAAAAGGTCAGTTTACATTCCAATTCCAAAGAAAGGCAATGCCAAAGAATGTTCAAATTATCGCAG